TGTTTTATGTCATTATCATTAGGAAGACTAAAACAGAAATTATGAGACATCTTTACAGACCTATTATAGTAACTAAAATAAAAAAAGACTGACTATACCAAGTGTTGGCAAGGAGGCTCTCATATACTGCTGGTGGGAATGTACAATGACACAAGCACTTTGGGAAAATGTAAACATTTCTTAAAAAGTTAAACACACACCTCCCATATGGTCCAGCCACTTACTCCACTGAACACAAGAGGAAGCACATGTCCATGCAAACGTCTATACATGAATGTTCATACCACGTGTATTTGTAATAACTCCAAATGGGAAATAATTTAAATGTCCTGAACGAAAAAATAAATAAGTTGTGTTACATCCATATAATGAAATATTAACATAAAAAACACAGAGGAATCTGAAAACAAGTAAGCTGAGAAGAAGCCAAACAAAAATCAAAGTACATACTGTATTTACCCATTTATATTAAGCTCTAGCGACTGGAAACGAATCCACACTGACAGGAAGTAGAGGTCAGTAGTTGTCCCAGGAAGGCTGGGAACAGGCACCAGGAAACCAAAACAGTGGGGAATCACTGCCTTGGTCTGGTAATGATTTCAGGGGTGTGCGTGTGTGTGTGTGTGTGTGTGAAAAATCACAAATTATAAACTTTGAAAACATGTATATATGTGTCACTTATCCTCTAACACAGCTATTAAGATTTCTTAAAATCAAAAACATAAAAATGAAATGAGGAAAACACTCAATGTACATGTAATATCAAGGTTAATCATGATGAAAGATAATCTCGTTTACTGGACACTCCTTATACAATCATAAATTTTTTCTAATTTTAAAAGAGAAATACAAATAAAATTTAAAACTAAATCATAAAAATCATCTACAATGGGGCCGGGGATTTAGCTCAGTGGTTTAGCCGCCTGCTGCGCAAGTGCAAGGATCTGAGTTCAATCCCTGGTACCAAAAAAAAAAATCATCTATATATTATAACTCCTTATTTGATATGTATTCACCGACACCTGCTAGCCCTACCTAAGTTATTTCGTGCATTGTCACCAGAAAGACAGTTCCCAACACTCTGGGAAATACCTGAAATGTGAGAAAAGTACTGAAAACTACAAGGTTACATGAAGAGTTTTTAATTAAGAGAAAATATATTTAGATGAATCATTAACTATATAGCACAGAGTTCCTGAGTAACCTCAGTCTTGAAAATCCATTTATGTGGCTCACTAACATTAGTGATGTTTTTCTTTTCCTTGTGCAAGGCTTGCAGATGGTGGGGCGGGTCTGGATTCCTCCTCCTGGCTCTCTGGCTGCTACCGGGCTGAGTCCTGGACACAATCAACATGACCTTTCAGGCTCTGCCCAAATCCAATCGCTCTCCTCTTCTGCCAGGGCTGGGCAGACTTCTGATTGCATTTTCTGCAATCTTTTCAATTTCCTGCCTTTCGGAAAGTTATAGCCATAATGCAATTTTCACTTGCCTCGGATAGACATTTGCAAAAACAAATCCCATGTCACCATGGGGAAAGCAGCTTAATGCTTTTCATAGGTGCTCACATCTTTCTGTGTGATCACTTTTCAGTCTTAGGGACGGCCTTGCATTGCTCAACTGTCCTGCCATTTCTTCCCCTCTTTATATGATGATCCTGAGTTATCAGTTTGTTATAATTAACAAATAACTGATATATCTCAGGCTTCTCTTATTTTCAACAGTTTCCAACAATTCTGGATTCACATTCACAGGATTGTGTAACAATGCAAGTCTCGGACGGATACTTTTGAGCAGGTCTGTGTAAAAACCCTAAAGAGGACAGAAGTGAATTGTTCCTACCGCACTGCATTCATCAGAGCTGGGGGCTGATGGAAGAGCCTCTTACCCGGGAAGGCTCTGACGCAGGCTTAGTTTTCAACACAACTGAATCAGGAAATCTTTGTTGCCCTCCTGGCGGTGTTTAAACACAAAACCCTTTGAAAGTCCCTCTTCCTTTGGCTTCTGGCACTTCTGGTTAACCTGTTAACTTCTCAAATTTACTTCGACAGCCCTTCTTCCTAGTTTATGTGCCCCTGAAGTGAAAATAGAGACATTTCCCAGGCCTCTCGACGCTCAACCGAAATCATCCCACCAGCCCTTGTTCGCGGCTTCCTGCCTGTCCCCAGTACTCCCCCAGCCTCCCCTCCTCATGCTCTAGAGACTTGCACTGTCCTAGAAGGAAACTGTTAGCCACTCAGGGCACTGCAATGTGGCTGGCCCAAAACTGACATGAGCGACAAAGCACACATTGGATTCTGAAGACTTAATACCAAAAAAGTAAATCCAAGTAATTTCACATTGGTTCTATATTGAAACAATAACATTTTGGATAAATTGGGCTAAATAAAATATATTGGACAATTAATTTCATCTATTTCTTTTTTTCTCTTTAAAAATTATGACCACTAGAAAATTAAATATTAAGTACGCAGCTCTCCTGACATTTCTACCTGTCACCACTACTCTGTACCTAAAATTCCAAATGGAACATGCTAGAGACTGAACTGATTATATCCCAGCCCTCCTGGCCCGCTCCTTCTCTATTACTGCAGCATAAACACCAGCAGGCATGAGCCAGGTAAGTCCCACAGCTCGGGCTGTGGCTGGAGAGGACACTGCAGGACAAAGGAGCTGACCTCAGAGTGAATTACTTGCCAACAGGGTGACAGGAGACTCCAGTCACTGTGAAAGAGCCTGTCAGCATCTAGTGAGGAGCAGTGGCAATTAGGAACAAAAACAGCCAGGTATTTGTCAAAAGAGTGGATAAAGTGCATTCAAAGTCAGAAATGTCAGCAGTACACACTTAATGGTGACACATTCACTGCAGGTAACTGAACCACCTTAATGTGCCAAATATTTTCTTACGTTACTGGCTAATGGAATCTTCTTCACTTTGCCTGAAGTCTAGGGTCATTTGTTCTCTACTCTTTCCGCTAGTCCCCATAGCCAGGCAACTATCAAACCCTGTTTACTTCACCAGCACCCAGCCCACCACATCCACATTCTTTTCCTCCTTAAAGACAACCAGAGAAGGGAGATAACATGCTCCCCCAGGACCTGAAGATCAGGATAGGGTGGGAAGGAGGAAGGGAAAGCTCAGCCTCGCAGCCATACACCTGTGCTGCGAGCCTCCCGTGCTAAGGCCCGCCTCTGTGTCACAGAGGACTCCCCAAAGCATCCTGTTCTTCACAGGTATCCTCCAGCGGAAGCAACAGGAAGGCACACAGGTGAAAGAGGAAAGGCCCTCAAGCACCCCCTTCACAAAAGTGGCCCGGGAGAGGGTCTGCAGCACACAAAACCCTCTTTCTTCGCTTTCCCTTTTCGGCCCCTCATGCCATCATTTTCACTGCTTTCCCTCTCTATACCTATGGGCTGCGTGCATGGAGAGCCAGTTCCAACACTGCCCACAGGAGGATGCAAGTCACGGGCGACTTTGGACTTGAAATTGAAGAAGTCACTGAGAATTTTACATGTGCCTGGCATTTATGACAACTGAACAACAACATAATTCATTAAACTTATATTTCAAATTATACATTTAAATTATATATATGAAATTTGAAATTTTCTGAGCAGTTCAGAAATACTATTCTTAAACCAGCTGACAACTGCCTAAGCATGTGCTATAGCTCACACGTTTTACCAGGCTACTTTTTCATAGGTTCATTTTTTAAATGACTGTATCTTATGGCATCATAGGTCATATATGGCATTGCAGGATGGATATTTTCAAATTAGAAATTTCTTCTTTTCTGAAGTGTGAACACAGTCATATAAAAGTGACAGCATTTTTATTATTCTTTAGCCATTCTGTTTTTTATAATTTACTTTTAAAAATTGTTACTTAGATTAAAAGGTGCTTTTTAATGCCAAAATTTGCTTGAAGAAGCACATAAGCCTAATTCACGTGCCATAAAAACACACTTACAATGGAAAGATACATTTAAATATAAATGGGGCTTATTTTCAGAAAAATTCATATCACATCTTTCAACTATAATGTTTGAAAGATAAAATAATTGCCTAAAAATTATGAATTGCCATTTTAAGAGTATAATTCCTCCTAAGATGTGTCATAACACATCTTGGTTTGACCAGATGCAATTAGCTGGAAATTTTAACTCTTGCCTAAATGATCAACTTTGGGGACACGTTTCAAAATGTAAATGATTCTGGTTGCTATGGGCTCACAATTAAGATAATAAACAGTAAGATTATACTGCACAAGCAGACAAACTATTGAGTAGACTGTTTGGAGACTACATCTGGCTGTGTGGTGCAGACTGGCCTTGAACTTGCTAGTTGCCCTGGTTGGCCTCAAACTCAGGATCCTCCTGCTTCAGTCTCCTGAGTGGTGGGATTACAGGTGGCTGCCACTACATCTGGGTGACAGCTAATATTTTAATCAGTTTTACCTAATAGATGGAAGCTGCATATATATATATGTATGTATATATGTACATATTGTACACAAGTTTGTGTGTGTGTGTTGTGTGTGTAAAAACATTCTAGGTGTTTTTCACTGTGTATATACATTAAGGTCTATGTGCAAAGATTTCCCTAACTGTATATTAATTGAAGGCAAAGAAAATCTGAACCACAGATTTAAAACAAAACAGCACATCTATCATGTGTTATTTATGTGCTAAATAAACACTATATCAAATAGAATTATGAATACTACTAACTGTTCGTGTACTGTATGTTTAATTCAACTTAATTCAAATTATAAATTATTACATATTGTGTTAAGTACATTTATATGCTTTGATTTAGAAAGGTTTATCTCCATACATTTCTATAGCATAAACCACGATAATACACAGTTCAAATGCCCGTGAGGGAGGCAGGTTATATGTGTTCAAACATCACCTTTAGTAAAACCTGGATGCTAACCCTAAGTTACTTGCTAGCCTACATTTACAAACTTGGACTAAACTGCAATGTCATTCAACTGTACCTTCACTGCTCCATTCTCATGCATAGTGATGCAGTTATCGGGATCTTCCGAGAGCTGGTACAAGGCCTGTGCCGTGGCTCGATGCACATTGGTGTCGTTCGATTTCAGGTATTGCACTAATGGAGCCACTGCTTTGTGTTCACCAAAGGCCACTCTGTTTCTGCCCCACATACAGCAACGTGAAATCGCCTCTGCCAGGTGACACCTCAGTTTATCATTATTCTGCCCAAAGGAAAACAGACTGAGGAATATGCACTGTAAGGATCCCGTGAGATCATGTTTGTTCACTTTATTACTTTATTACTACCCCCTAGGATGCCAATAAGTCCGAGAGATGCTAACTGGCTACTCAGGTGGTACCTTGAGGGAACTATCTATGGGTCAACAGCAGACTAAGGTTTCATTCTGAGTTTTCTTTTTATGAACTGAATGTAGTCAGTGCTCTCAAAGATAAAACAAGTATCTGACATGAGTCATTTGCTCAAAGTTTGTTTTAAGCAAGTCTAGTCACAACAAAATTTACAAATCAACAAGTTGCTTAGTAATGAAAATATTTATAGACTACTGGATATTCTTCAAGAATACTCACTTAACTGGGATAAGTGGAATAACTCCATTCCTTCACCCTAGGAATACTTCTACTTCTTGACCATAACCCTTGTTCCCAAGAGGCAGAAGACAATGACATGCATTGAACCTTCTGTTTTCTTCCTGAGTTCATTATACAGATTACACCCTCTTTTTGTATGTAATTACCTCCTAGAGGTGTAGTGTAATGGAATAAGATGATTTTCTGTTTATCAAGTGTACTGTTCTCTTGAATCAGAAAGCAACCTGGGGTCCTTAACTGAGTCTGGTACATCCTCTGAGGAGCTCATACTCTTCCAGTGTTTAAAGTTCTGTTCTACAACTTTTCTTCCAAGTGGTAATCTGAGCCATGCTCAAATAGGACGATCACAGTGAAGTCATTGTTCAAGGCTGCCTATTCTATCTGGCTCAGCTCTAGATAAACAATAGAGCAACTGCCAAAGACTTCAAGCTCAAGAATGCCACCGATCCAAGCTTGCTAAGCTGGGGAAGGCACAATTCTCATCTAATGTTGGCAGAAACAACTATCTTAACAATAATGATGGTGGCGGTGAAATGATAGTCAACACTTACTTAACAGCATTTCTATTTGCCACCCCTTTGACTGCCAGCAACAAATAAAAAACAGCCTCCATTTTACAAGGACCTTGCACACTCACATTTTATAATTTAAGATATGCTTTTGTGTCTATTAGTCTCAGAGAAATTAAATGAGTTGAAGAAAATCTCATATTGCTTAAGCAATGGGGATTAAATTTGAATTCAGGTCTCTGAACTTCAAGCTCATTATTTTGCCACTACTGCACGATCTAACAATACACACTTAAAATACAAAGGTAGGTTACTTACTGTATTTGCCAGCTTGGACAGCAAAGGTACAACTCCGTGGTCCGTAATAACAGCCAAGTTTTCTTGGTCTTTTGCTATATTGGTAATAGCAGCACACACACTTGATAAAACTTCCTTGTTATCCGATTTCAATAAATTGACAACAAGTTCCAAACCACCAACAAAGGAACGAACCATTTCTCCAGCATCCTACATAAAAACAAAAGTAAGGCTGGTATCAACAATATATCTAAGCATGGCACAAGGCCACGTGACTGCAGCCCCAGCACTTCTGGAGGCTGAGGCAGGAGGATTACAAGATCAAGCCCCTCCTAGGCAACTTAGCAAGACCCTGAAAAGGACCAGAGCTCTTTTACCCAAAGCAGAAAGGAACAATAAGGCTATGAGGTGTACCTTTGGGATGAAAGGTAAATTCAGTTTTACATATTTCTACATTGTATATCACTTCATGTATGTATACGTGATGTTTATAGTAGGAATATATCTCTACACATGTGTACATATAAATATAGATGTAGACACACAACATACACACCAAGTTCAGTTTGAACAGCTATTATGTGGCAGCCACTGTGCAAGATACTGAGGATATAGAGGTTAATACCATACAGTTGGCTCTTAGCATTTGCAGTAGTTTCTTTTTACAAAGTCACCACAAACACCCATTTAGTCAATAACTGAACCACTGCTTTTATGAGAAATGCAGAGTTGCATTTTGCAAGCCTCTAGGCACTCTACTGTTGTCAAGTGATCTATATATGACCTTGTGTTACGTGTTTCTGTTCGAAGACACCTTATTTCACATATATTCTTAATTCACTGCCAGCAGCACTGGAAGTCAGGCGACAAGACTTGGCATCAGCAGCACATGGACGCCTCATGGAGGCAGCGCTTCAGCACTACGCCCAGGGCTATTTTAAGCACAAAACTGAAAACTGCAGCTCTGCACAGTCTGTCCAACGGCCACTTGTTTACAGCTGAGAGCCGAAGGAGGCAGAGCACTGCATTCACTTCTCTACCTCGTCTGAGAGCAAGCGCATTAGACGACTCACTCATCCCCTTGGTATGTGTGCCTAAGAATGACTGAAATCAGCCGTCAGTACAGTATTGACTTGGGGGTTACAAAAAAGCTGCAGCCTAAGGAGGCTTGACAATGTCTATTCTTTGGCCATAATGTTGGGTACAGCTGGTGGGGAGGTGGGCATGGAGAAATTGTGGGAGGGGGTGAAAACACTACAGATAAATGCTAGGGGATTTCAGCTCCTCTAAGATTCAGGGACTGCTTCCCCAAGAGGACGGGTCCGCCAAAGCCCCAGGGCGAGGAGCTGTCCAGGGGGAAGAGGAGCATCCTGTGACAGATCATCGCAGAACAGGTTTGGGAGTGAGACTGAAGGTGGCTTAACATAGAATAACAAAGGGAGCTTGGGAAAAATGAGACATATTAGGTAAGATCATGACCAGAAGGGGATGTGAGATAGGAGGAGAAGGGGAGGAAGGGAGGAAAACAACTGACATGATACGTGTGCGTACCAACTCCCCACAATGAATGTGTTCATTAGGTCTCACAAACATACTGAACAAAAGGAAGTGGCAAATTTTTTTAAAGGCTTGGTAGAGTTTGGAGTTCATTTAAGAGTTTTGAAGGCCACAGAAAAGGTATAAGTATGGGAGGAAGGTTTATTTCATCAATTTTGTACACAGGATTTTGGGTACAGACCGATGACTGGGACAAAGAACTGCGTGGGGGAATCTGAGGCTCCTTCAGGTGTCCAGATAAGAGTGGGCAATGCTGTGGAGGGAGAATGGCCAAGGTCTGAGAGAAGGGTGTGCCCTGGGAGGATTCATGGGGGAAGATGACAAGGAGTAACTTGTGCATGTGCGTGTGCGCACGCGCATGCACGTGTGTGTTGTATAGGAGACTGAACCCAGAGCTTTCACTCTGAGATCCATTCCCAGTCTTTTTTATTGTTTATTTTGAGGCAGAGTCATACTAATTTGCCACTTTGCTCACGCTGGGCTTGAGTTGACAGTCCTCTTCCCTCAGCCTCCCAGAGTGCTGGGATTACACATGAGTGCCACCATGCCCAGCAACAAGTAGTGGTTCAACATGATTCCTGTGTTTCCAGGCTGGCTTTGCCCATGTTGGAAAAGCAGAATTTTGTTTTATTTTATTCTCTTGGGCTGAGAAAAGGTGGTATTTGGTATGAGAAGACCAAATTGGAATGAAGTGCCCATAAACATTTAAGTGAAGATATCTAGGTCTCAAATAGATGTGTGGGTTTGGAGCTCAGGAAAGAAAACCAGGTTGGAGACACAGATTTGGAAGATAATGGCCCAAAGATTATAAGCCACAAGCACTGAGTCTGAAAGAGTAGGGAGCATGATAAGGTGGGCAGTGTCCCGGTGTCCTGGGTGTGGACAGAGGAAAAGAATTCCACACAGAATCCTGAAAACAGAAGGTTGAAAAAAAATGCTCACTTCCTCGGAAGTTGTTGATGGGGTGCACACAGTGTCCACCAATCATATGGCTCCAAGACTTTCTTAAATAAAAGAAACTAACATAACTGTGGCCTACAACTTCCACAGATCCTTCTCAGTTAAGCTTCACAACCACGCAAAGGAGGTATCATTATTTCCATTTTAGATTTCAAAACTGAGGTTCACAGATGTTGAATCTTATAAATCAGACTGTAGCCCTTGGTAAAGGCAGGAGGCATGTTTTCTACAACTTAGTGATCTTTATAAATCATTAATTTGATCATCTCATCCCCATGCCCCCTAAGTTCTTCCATAGTGTTCCCTGCCCTTAGGATAAAATACAAGCTTCAAACATGGTTCACAAGCCCTCATACTGCCCTAGCTTGCCTCTCTGGCCTCACCTTTCTCACCTTGATTTCCCTCCCCTACATACTCCTTAACTGAGAGGCTCCCCATGGGAACTAACAAATAGAATCCTGGAACTCATTTCCTGAGAATGGAACTCATTAAGTTTGGGCTGGGGCTTATAACAAGGTGGATATTAAAAGCTCTCCTGGTGACTCAACTTCAGCCAACGTTGGAAACACTGCTTTGTACACTGATCCTTCAAGCTTCATGTACTCAAACATGCTGCTCGGATGTGTCTCCGTGGCTTTGCACACCCTGCTTTCTCTAGCTTCCTCTCGGCTTGGGAATTCCTACTCATCCCCAGCTGCCAACTCAGGCACCATTTTCTTCAGGAAGTCTTTCCTGAGCTGCAGGTGTAGGTTAAGTGCTTCCTCCAATAATACCTGGTACTTCTATACTGCAGCACTTTGCACCGTAAGTTCTAGGAGACAGGGACTTTTTCTGACTTGTCCATTACTGTATCCCCAGTAACCATGCCAGTTCCTAGCAGTTAGTACACATTCAAATGACATTCATTGCATTTGACTGCAAACTCCCAACTCTAACAAGAAGTGGAGACCGCAGCATAACAAAGCAAACTGATCTACTAAACACTGCAGGCAGGACCGGAGCCAGGTTCTCCCAAAGTGTAAGGGCCAAGTAGACTTCTACAAAGCACACTGCTATGAGGATGGATGTGAGCAATGCTGGTGGCCTCGTTCTCAATGCCAAATTTAAGTACAATTTCTGTAAGGTCATACTTTCAAATTCTGATGCATCAGAAAGGCTTGTTATTATTCTAAATTTCTGCAGCAAAGCTTTTTAGGTAATACAAAATAAATTATATGTGGAAGTGTGTTCTACATTGGTACTTTATCACACATATTTTAGCCATGTTGCCACTGTGTGCATCCTTACCACATACTGGACAAAGCGAAGTTGTGCACCTGTCAGTTCCAAAACAAAATCAATGCTTTTTCTCAAAGTTTCAGGGAACTTAAAAAACTCTGCCCTAAAGCTTGCCTTCCCTAAGTGATGCCGAATGTTTCAATCTAATTCATTTGTCAACTACAAAATTACAGAATAATATTTTTTCTTAAGAAGGAATTCTGGAAAAATGATACGGCAAAGTTTTTGAATCTCTTTATGAAAACTGAGCAACTAGTACAGCAAGGCAAAAACACAAGAAACATATTTACAACAGTACTATAGGGGAGAAAGTATCCACATGGACAAAGCAGACCAGGGCGAACTACACACTGTGAGGGAGGCAGAGGGACCTGCCAACGTCCCCGCACCAGGGAACCCCAAATTGCCAGTCAGCTCTCACCTTGGGAAAACCCTGGGAGCGCAGCAGAGCTGGGAGTGGGTTTCCTGCCCCAGTGAGTGGGTCAGACAGTGTGGAGCCCTGGGGATTCTCAAAGCCATGCACTGAAGCCCCTCCTAGGACAAAGCCCTGCACCCAGGATAGTGACTGAGAGTTGCAGCCAAACTGACAAGGCAGGGAGAGAGGAATGAAGGAATACGAAAGTCCAGGTAAGAAGACAGGAGGTGAGAGAGGGGAAGGATATACTCTGCAGCACCACGAAAGCAGAGCGTGACAACCATGAAGCTGGGGATGCTGTCCTAACCACGGCTCTCTCTTTAAAAAAGGCAGGAAAGCTCATTTCTGCTAAAAATGAGCACTATAAGAAAGGATAATCAATTTCTACATGGAGTTATTACAAGGGATAAAAACAGAACAGAGAGAATAACATCTTTACGGATAATAAAAGCACAGGGAAGATGTGCCTACAAAACAGACAAAAATGGTAATGTAGCATTTTTATTTTTATCTTATTTTTCGGTGTTGTGGATGGAACCCACTGAGCTGAGCTGCCCCACTCCCAAGAACGCTTTTAAATGAACTAAAAGAAAATGCAACAACAATGAAAAAAAAGTTAGAATTATAAAAGTTCATAAGTTAGATGATGAATAAATAAAATAACTTTTAAGAAGAAGTGAAAGACATCCACAAGGAATTAGAAATGAGAGAAAAATTCATTTTGGAAAGGAAGAGTAAACAAAAAGGAACACAGGAATGAATACACACAATGGATAATCTCTTTAAATAAATAGAAGACATGAAAAATGCAGAATCATGGGAAATGAATTAACAAAAAATTCAAGAGAACAAATGAGTAGAGAAGATCGAACACATGTGAGTAAGAGTCCCTGACAGAGAAAACAAAACAATACAACGGAGCAAATTTAAAAACTGTAATTTGAAGAAATTCTCTCTAGAATAAATAAAACCTGAGAGTATACTGTAAAGCTGCCTTAAA